TTTTTTTCTTCCACAACTCTATCAAATCTAAAGTTCTGTCTCAATATCCTATATTAGTTACTTAGCTAGTTGCTTACCATTATCATGAAACTTTAGACCAAACCCAAGAACAAACAGAAAATTAATACAATCATAGAAATTGAAATCTTAGTTCTGTATTCTATGATGTGAAAGATGTACTTTAAGGAACCATAAATTAATCTCCTATTATGCAAGCCTTCCAATCCATGTTTAATAGTTTCCCTTTCTCATTTTTCCACTTATTTGGTTTTTATTATGTTCCACTTACATGCCTAGAAGATAAAAGGAAAAGAATACATATGGAATTTCACAGCAAATTGATTGTGTTTTTTCTAGTTGTTTTAGAATCTCTCCCTATTCTAATCAAATTCTTTCTTCGCTAATATAATAAAAAAGATGCAAATGTTACCAGAAATTCTTTAGTGTTCCACTTTTTATCAATAAGATCTATCCACTTGGTAGGATCGACATTCTTTGGTGGGTGGTTTCTTGCATACTCCTCCCCTTTAGCCTCCTTCAGCTCCATGAATTGTTTGTGCAGCCTATAGGTATGGTTACTCAATCTCCGACCAAATTTTGTGTTCATTGCCTTCTCTATATCAACAGGGTCTCCTTGTAAATCAAATTGATCCTGCAAAAAATAGATAAGTCATAGATAATTCTTATAAAAAATAAAATAATTACAATAAATAATTAAGATTTCTAACCTATTATAAAAATGAGTAAAATCTCCTATAAGTAGACAACGAACTTACATTCAAGCGTTGAAACATCGCCTCCTTAACGGAGGCATCAACATACTTCCACCTACGAACACTTGGATTTGGTAAACGAGTTCGCACTTCTACACCAATCTTTGAGGCTAGTTTTGAGGCATAGTCCCCTACCGGTGCACGAAATTCTGGAGGGATAGGCACGCTAAGCTTTCCGTCTTTATCAACAAGGCCTTGAACCTCTTTGCCTTGAGTCGGGCCACGAGCACACTTAGCAACTGATATTGTGAAGCCATAATATTGAAATAGTATGTGAACAAATTTAATTAAGATCTCAAATCAATGTAAATAAAGAGTGTGTCTTACCAATAGTATTACCAGCAGTCACCTCAAGTTGAGGCTCCACATTGAGAGGTGGTGGCGGATTGCTAGTCACCTCAGGACGTGAAGAGGTATCCCCCTCTTCTAATGTGTGGGTCAATGCCTCATGATGAGATTGTGAACGGGCTCTCGATGGTATCTCTAACAGCTGAATAACATAATAAAATATGAATATATGTACAAAGATATACATGTCTATGTGTGTATGAATTGGAAGTAACAAGAAAGAATATATTTCACAATGCATAAATGTATAGTACCTCATGCTCAAACGAATCATAGGTTTCAGTGTCACTACCATCTTCAGCCTCTGACGGTCGATAATCATCATCATCATTTTCCTCAATTGGTATTTGTTTTTCCTTCCTCAATTTCTTATGTTGAACCGTAGCCTTCAAACAAGTTGTTATATTCTTCACTCCTAGAGCATTCATTCTCTCACGGTTTTTATTAATATTCTTCATTCTTTGTTTCTCATAGTTCGTTACCTTCTTAATTGTGGTACTTGGTTTGGTCAATTGCTTTTTTGTAGCGTCCATTTTGCCCAACTATAAAGCATAATTGAATATTTTTTTAGTGGATACGCATAATTGAACATTAGATGTAAAGAAAAGATAATTATACATTTCTATACATAAAGCATAAAGTAACAACAATCTCAACAAGTGGATATGTCATATAGGCTCTAAATCATTGAAATATGGCTAGAGTGATATGGATGATTTTTGTTTTTACCATTTACTTATCATAGAACAAATTAATTACAAAGCCATCAGACACACAATATGACCAATCAATGATAAACCTACATAACAGTGGATGAACCCCACAACTGAAATTCAAATACATTAATTAAGAACAATGTTCGTATAGAAAGTGCAAAATAACTACAAATCCTAGTCTACATCAAGATCCATATCGTAATCCACATCAGGTTCGTCACACTCTTCATTTTGTTTGTCAGCTCTTTTCTGTATCATTGTTTCGTCAGATGACCTAACCCTTGTAACAACTTCTGCTTCAACACCATCTCTATAACATTGAACATTAGGGCCGATGTCAATTGGAACAACATCGGTAATATTTTCTTGTTGGAACACATCGTTTTCTTCTGGTTCATGTAATGATTCTCCATCACCTACCTCTGGTACATCAAAGACACCCCTATGTTGCACTCGTTGAACGACTTGCCAAGGTTGTCCCCATTTGGTATCATTTAGGTAAAAGACTTGCTTAGCCTGGCTAGGCAACAACCAAGGAAAAAAAAGGAAAAAAGAGAAGAAAAAAAAAAAAAACAGCACTAATACAGCAGCAGGGGCACAACAACATCATAGTGACATTACAAAAACAAACTCCCTTGTGACACAGCAGCCAACAACTCCAGCGGCAGACAGACCCCCACCATCGCAGATTATATACCAGGTCATATGTAAAAAAGATTCAAATAAGAATTTTCATATTAGAAGCGAAGTGACACATGCATGGTATGACTTAAATTTGGAAGAAACCCCAATTGGCTTACAACTTTTAACAAACAGCTCACATTCACACAATTTGATGGAGCATTCTTGGCTGAAGAGAGGGAAGGAAAGTGGGTTTGTTTGTGTGCCTAGGATGGAAATAGAACTATTCCAGGCAAGAAAAGAAAATTACCTAATGCAATGATACAAGATAAAGAATAATAACAATTCATATCACACCCAAAAGCAACAAATATAAGAAGACACCCAAACATGCCTATATTATTCATCTATCTCTCTCTTAGCAAACACCCATTGCAATTATAATTCCCACATTGCAGAAGAATACCATAAACCCAGTAAGTTCACTGAATGAGATAACAACTGACTAACTCCAATTCCAATTCATCTAGGAAAAAAAAAGTAAATAAATAAAGATAGAGAAGCTCCAACAAATAGTGACAGAAAGAGACAGAGTACAGAATAACCTACGAATTTTTATTTTTTTTATGTGATTTCACTTTTAGTCGTGTTTTAACTTGGGAGCTTCGTGATTTAAATGTTGAAAGCTATCCAAAAATTGGGTCTTTAAATTATCATGAAATCTAGAAGTGGTTTGGTTTGAAATTTGTGCTCAGATTTTATTTTATTCGCAATGAGAAACCGATAGCTTAGTTTATTTAATAGAGAACAGAGAAAATCCAAGCACTTTAGACCCATTAGAACAACATACGAACAACAGAAACAAAATGAAAATATCAGAGAAAAAACCTAGGGTTCATAATGGGAGGGAAGAAAGGGAAGGAAAGAAAGATACATATGTATCGTGAGAGTCTCTTCCAATCAGATTGTGGAAAGAATGCTTCAGCAAAGAGCCGGTCCCTCTGCCGTGGGTTGCAACAGTAAGCAAACTAGAGAAAGAGCCGAGGTAACAAACGAGATAGATGAAATTTGATGGTCCTGAATATCCACAACCCTTCAACTTCTGAGCCAAATTGTCTTTAGATATGTTCTTTGTGAGGAAGTTTTTATTATCTATAATAGGCCCAAATTTTATTTTATTTTAAAGACAAAATAGTTTGTCACCAATCACCAATTTTGGGCGCCTATTTTTTGCATGTGGCGCCAAATATTTGGATTCTTTTTGTGACAAAAACATTTCCTCACCAAATTAAAATTTTCGTCTCCAAAAGAAATCCCCTTTTTTTGATTTTTATGACAAAATTAAAAGGGTTTATTTGACTTATTTTTTGAAAACGGCTTTTAAATTAATTGCAAGTCTTAGTATTTTTTTATTTTTTATTTTAGTCACATTTTTTATAAATAAAAAAAAATTAGTTGTACATCTAAAAAGTAAAAAATAAAAAAAAAAACTAAAATATGAAAAAATTTCAACAAAGACGAATGAAAATTCATTTAAAAATAATATATGAGAATTTAAATCAAAAAAATTTTAAAGTTCAAAAATTAGCCAATAATAATATGAAAAAAAACAAGTTAGAGTTTTTTCTTATTTTTTTTTATTTTTAGATACACGTAATTTAAATATACTTAAAACGTAAAATATTTATAAAAAAACCAAAAATCAATAAAAAAAAATGACAGTGTACTAAATTTTTATATTTTTTTGTATGTGGTGAATTTTTTATCGTGTTTTGATAAATTTTGTAATTTTTAAGTTTATCTAAAGGGCAAATTACACATATGGTCCCTATACTTTGTCTTTTGTGTCATTTTGGACCCTACACTTTCAATTGGCACAATTTTAATCCTTAATTTTAAATTTTATGTCAATTTGATCCATCGATAATGCTGTTAGTGTTTTTAATGAAAATAATCACTGAATTGATTGAAATTAACTCAGCAAAGTTAGTAAATTTATAATTTTACTATAAAAAAAATATATTACACCTGACATTTATGACACAGGGGCAATTGCTGCAATTTGCCTTATCTAAATTCAATGGATCTAAAAAAAAAAAAAAAAGAAAAAAAATTATAATATTTTAAAATGTTCACTAAAAAAATACAGATTAAAAATTAAATATTGAGAACTCCATAGTAAACAAGGTAATGTTTTCTATTATTTTTCTTTTTTTTTTCCCCCCAAAAAAAAAATGGCTACATTAATTTTTTTTTTTTTTTTTTTTTTTTTGTGGAGAGGTTTTGACCTTCGATTTTTCTGAAATGAGTTTTCTAGATGGAAAGGGTAAAGTTGGTTTAGACAATGAGAAAAAATGTTTGCGTACAAGAGGGGCCTTCACTGTGAGAAAGGATAGTGGGTTTGCATAGGGTGCCTTCTTGGATAATAGTTTCAATGCTGGCATGTATGAAGGGCTTAAGTGTGAGACAAATTAAGGGTCAGAGTGTGTCTCTTGGGGTCACGGTTTCAGTACTCTCAAACACAAAACCACGGGCATTTTAAGAAAGAGAAATAATTAGTGATAAAATATTTTTGTCTTCTTGAATACCAGAATAGAGAATTTATTATTAGTGACGAAATATTTTTGTCTTCCACTACTTAACCTTATGAGACAAAAATATATTCGTCACGCAATCAATCATAAGTTATTAGTGACGAAATATTTTCGTCTCCCACTACTTATGCTTCTGGGACAAAAATATATTTGTCACCTATTTAATAAAAATATGAAACGACATTGTCTGCATGATAGTTATTAGTGATGAAATATTTTCATCTTCCATAACTTATCATTCCCTGACAAAAATATATTTGTCACCTATTAAATGGAAATATGCAATGACATCGTGTAATAGGTAGGGAATTTATTGGCGAAGAATTATATTCGTCGCAAAAAAAATTATATTTTGTGACAAAAATGTTCGTCTCCAATGAGCTAAAATATTTGTTTGGTAAATACTAAAAAATTTATGTTTTGTTCTTTTTTTTTAAAAAAAAACATTATATTAAAAAATATTATTGTTCAAGTCCTTATTGTTTAGAAGGATATATATATATTTTTAAATTTAAAACAAAAAAAATTAATAGCGATTAATAATTTGAACACATGTATTTAATACAAATTATATTTAGACCAATAATATTATGACACATGTGAAAATTGAGCTCATTCTAATCGTAGTAATATAATTTGAAGAAGAATTTACATTTGTAATTTTATTTTATAATTTAATAAAGGATGCAAAATTTCAACCTTAATGAAAAAAAAAGAATTACAACTTTCAACCTTAATGAAATGACAATATTTTGCAATTATAACAGTATAGAGATAAATTATGGAATATATCATTATTTAAAACTTATGTATTAAGGGATAAATGATTATAATTTTAAATTTAAATTAATAAAATACTTTCAATA